CTTAGATCGAAGTAAGAATGTTACTGCTATCTGGAGAATCAGATATTTTTATCAAATACAAAAAAAAACTGATTTAAATGCTGATAAAATTCTGTATTTTTATGACCAAAGATGAAGATTTACTTATAAATCTGGATACGATCTGAATGATTTTTCTAAAGCAGATGGAATTAGTTGTTAGTTGTTAGTAATAAATATTGACTCTTTCCGTAACATGAAAGAAATAATTATATGAACTCATTCTCCCATATAGTGAAAGTGGCTTTGACATGAAACAAACTCATGAACAAACAATTATAAAGACTCCTAAAAAACCTTTTGGGCAACCTAAAGCCGATAAAAAGGTAGGAAATATTGTGTTAAATGAATTCAACAATCACGTTTTTTAGGGAACACAATCGTCATACTTATTATTATGCTTATCCTCCCTTCATTTAACTAAGATTTTAATGACTTCACTCTATCTATCGCAGTTAGCTGAATTTCAATAAAACCTCAAGATTAACCGTCGATTTCGACGGGGTTCCACTAGTAATCAATTAAATTTGCCTTAACACCTGATAAGTTGACGTTAGAAGCATTACAATTTTACTTCTTCTCTCTCAATCCTTGAACCTCATTGGTCCAAACATGTACTGTAAAGTAACAAAACAATGCTGTTAAGTGAATCTTTTTCAACTCTAAGAACTGAATTGAAAAGCTAGTTCAAACAACTGTCGTAGGTAAAGTTATCAAGTATCCTTCGACCTCACTCAGTTTCTAATTCACTCCTAATATTTCGCTCATTTAGTTGCTTTGCAAAATTGTTGTTTAGAACCCAAAAGAAACTGTTATTTTCTCATAAAAATAATCCTTACTCCTGAACAATAGACTGCATTGCTAAGCATGTACAAACTAAGTAGTATGCATCTATAGCAAACAACATTCTCCGAATGTAAATATGTGGTTTCCCTGGACACTAAATTAAAATACCTAGCTCAATAAAATAAAAGGGCAAACTGAATTATTAAACTCAACACTTTTAATTGAACCAACTAAAGAAGACATAGATTAAAACTGTTATTGTTTTTAACAACACATTTAACAATTTAACCATCTGGTATTCATCATTGAAGTATAACATTAAAAACAGACATGTGGCAAATATTAAATTGCACTCAACACCCCTCCTCAATTTAATAATTTTACATTTGACACAATTAACAAACAAACAATCCTAACATCTTTCTCAAATTGCCAAACCGAGGTGCAGGCAGACTTTTTGTAAAAATGTCTGCAATCTGATTTTCCGAACATATATATTCTGCAGACATGATTCTCCGCTGGTGAAGTTCCCGCACAAAATTGTATTTAACATTCACATGTCTCAATCGGCGATGCTCCCACTTCTGTAGAAGTCGTATGCAAGATTGATTATCTTCCAGGATGCGGATTGGTAACTTAAGCAAAATTTGAAAATCTTCTATCAGATACTTCATCCAGAGTAATTCGGCTGCTGCTGTTGCCAAAGCTACATATTCCGCCTCTGTAGATGATAACGCAACACTAGATTGCTTCTTTGTTGCCCAACTTACAGTACTTCCAAACACTTGTATGAGATAACCTGAGATCGATCTTGAATCTCCACTTTTATTCCAGTTTGCATCAGCGTAAGCCAGAATAATGTCATCTTGTTTGCTCTTTCGATAACATAATTTTAAGTCAATTGTTCCTTTTATATATCTTAGGACTCTCTTCAAACATTTCCAGAGTTCTTCTGTTGGGTCACTTTGATGCCTGCTTAGGAAATTTACTACAGCACTCAAATCTGGCCTTGTACCTAGCATTGCATACATTAAGCATCCGATTACTTCTCTGCACGGCTTATCAGTCCTTTTTCCGCCTTTGATTTCTAGTTTTACTTCCATTGGCGTTTTGACTGGGCAACAATCTTGCATGTTAAATCGTTTAAGAAGACTCTTTAGGTAGGCAGTCTGACTTAAGTACATTTCCCCCTCACTCCTGGAGATTTCGATTCCCAAAAATGTTTTTGGTTCTCCCAATTCCTTGATTTTAAACTTCTCATTCAACTTTACTTTAATTTCCTTGATTTTCTCCCTATTATTTCCTGCCATGAGAATATCATCAACATAGAGCACAAGATACACGACAATATCATTTTGTATCATAACGTAAAGACATTTGTCGGATTCTGATTGGGTGAAAAATACCTAGCTCAATAAAATAAAAGGGCAAACTGAATTATTAAACTCAACACTTTTAATTGAACCAACTAAAGAAGACATAGATTAAAACTATTATTGTTTTTAACAACACATTTAACAATTTAACCATCTGGTATTCATCATTGAAGTATAACATTAAAAACAGACATGTGGCAAATATTAAATTGCACTCAACACCGAAGAAATTTAAAAACGCCACAGCTTCTACGACTACGTCAAACAACAATATAAATCTTGCCGTTGAAGTGAGAAACTACGGTATGAAACATTCGTTTATGCACCGAATGCTGGAGAACCAATAAAACGAACCAGTTATCCTACTCTTCGACACTTGGTGCTATTGGAGGGAAAGTGATATGCTTCTAATTGCCGACAGGTGTTTTAAACCGTTTAAACCGGTTGCTTGATCTTCCGTGTTGTCATTAGCATGAGGGCATTTTGATAGAGACTCTTCCTTATGGCGGAGTAAGTATATGTCATCAAGAGAAGGGAAATTGATTCATATGCGAAATACGTTAATGGCTATACTTACGTCGTGTCAAGTTTGGAATTATTTTAGAAAAGCGTTTGGAGGTGGGACTGAAGTGGCAATGAAGATTCGTCCCCAGGGCCGTAAAATTCGTTGAAAATGGTCTGAAGAAAGCTGGAATTGTTAGTTTGAAAAGCGCCTAACTATCATGAATACTATCATGATAATAAAAAATATCATGATAACTATTGAGTTATCATGATATTTTCTCAAACATATGGTTATTAGGCTGGTAGCCGATTATTTAAAAAATTGAAAACTTTCTCAAAAGTATGTCTTTAATTTCAATAAAGGTACGTTATGTGGTAAGCGCACTCTTCTTGAGGTTAGTCTTTTAATAGTTACCTATTACTCACATTACAGTTATAAATTTAATTCATATACACAATCTATGTATGGAACACACAATCTTAAAACCTAGCCAGATTGAAAGGATAAATAATAAGCTATAGCGTTATTTATGTTACGTAAAATCAGGTGTGATTATGTTTGTATTACTGTATTCTGTTTTGTTTATTTCAGCTTAACTTAACCAATCAATAGTTTTATTAATACTTATGAAGTCGAACGGGGTGAAGCCCGTGGGTAACAGCTAGTTATTTGTAAAGATATTTTTTAAGAAAATTATCATACAAATTTTTAATTAAAAGGAGTTTTACTCTCCTTAAATAAGTTTACAAGTTTTATTTACTAAGTTAATAAGTTACTAGGTTAATAAGTTATTTACTATTTAATAGGTTTTATTTACTTTTCCCTTTAGTTTACAAATAAGTAAAACTTATTTGTAGACTAGGTTAGCAATTAGGTATAAAATGCACTGTTGGCAGATCTTTTGGATTTTTGGATTGGTCTTTTAACATGTTTGATACAATTTCTATCGATATAAATTGTGTGCAAGGCAATATGTATTTTACAAAACATCTGCCTCTGGGATGAGTTATATCTGCCTCATGATACAAATGAGTTATAATACGCTTGGTTAGGGTTTTTGGAAAACTTTTACAAAATTAAGTGGAACAATATTTGTTAAGACATGTTTGTAGGATAAGCGTTTTCAAGAATTGTACTAATCTTTTTTCAGTGATTTTAGTTAGAAAGCTTCTAAAAAATGAACTTAGATATTTTTATTTAATAGATTAATTAAAATTGCAGCAACTAGTATGCTTTATATTTTTTACCATAAATTAACTCTATTCACATGTTAAGTATCACTAGTTCTTCAATGAATATACCTAGTGAAGCACGAGTTCGGGAGAGCAATGAAAGTAATCGTTTGAGTGTCGGTTTCGGTCCTCGGAATATCCTATACTGTTTTGAAAGTTTCTACCACGTTCCCTACAAACTGATGTCATTTTACTAATTTCAATTCAAGCCGACATTAAAACTCTCACTTAGAAATTATAATCCACTAAAATGGATTTATTGTTTAACTATTTAGTTATAACAATAAATTTAATTTAGTTAAACAATAATTAGACTGGAACGGGTGGCGTCGTCCTGTAATCCAGCTACTAAGAGGGTACGAATTGTGGATATTTATAGGAATGCACTGTGGACGCGATGCTCCCTGGTGTGGATTAACGTCCGCACTAGTGACTACTACGGCTATCCGCAGTACTATTTAATAATTTAGACCTATTCGTTAATTACGAGGAAAAAATTTGGTTCGGATTACACAATAAACTGTAGGTCCCTTAGTTGCCATTAGCTGTATGGGCTATTAATTAACAGCTGTGTCTAAGGAATATGTCGGCCTTAGTCACTAACAAGACTACAAGATCGCGCCACTCATCCTACACTCATCCTTCACTCATATTTGGGTTAAAATACGCACACAGTGGCGTCCCCATCTTAAATAATTGATACTTGATAACTACTCCACTAGCGTTTTTACATTTTTAGTCAGGCAACGGCCCAAACTCTAGTCTGTTTATCATCTAACACAACACATTTTGTTAGAGGCATCATTGATTTTCATCCCAACAAACGCAATCTGGATCCAGAATCCAGAATCGATCCCGTTTATAAGTCGTACCGGCGACTTTCAGAACAGCAAGCGTAACCACTCACAGCTCACAACCCGTCATACGATATTTCCGCTAACGTTACTAGATCTACGCCCGGTTTCTCTGTCCGGCTTATCAGCTGCACTTGGCCTTGTTAATGATCTTCACCGGTGTAGCAAGATCGCCTACATGAATCAACCGTGTCGGGTGGGGTAGGACCACTTTCTCACGAATCAGAGGGGGGAAACGGTCCAAACCGTACGTGGAGACGTCACATCCACACATTCGTCGTGCATTCGTACAACAGACAACATGCTGGTCTCTGGGGTAAGTGGGAATTGTACAACTTGTGTTAAATAAGTATTCAATGTAGATCTGACTAATGTTTTACCTTGAGTTGAAATGTTTTGAACACGAGAATAATTTACTTGCATACAAATCTGCTTGAGTGCTTGGCTGAAATAATTTTAGTTATTACAAATATTACTACTTTCTGTTCCCAAAGCTCAAAGATGGTTGTGTTCGGCATAAGTTTAATGTATAAAAAGTGTGAACAGTGTCAACCGTTTCCATGAATATGTATTGTGCCTTAAAGATTGTACAGGGTGAGTTTTAAATGAGTTCCCCCCTACTTTTTTCTACATTTCTTAAGATATCAACTCCGGACCACGTCAGATCATTGTAGAGTAGTAAGTACTTCATTTTGACTGAGTATACCTTTTTGGCTGCCACCTTGGATCCGCCATATTGGATACAAATTGTTTTCAATTGTAAAGGTAGGGTTGTGACCCATCTTTTCAAACTAGATTTTTACGCTGAATACGATGCTGCAATCTGTTTAAAAAAATTTTTGATCCATTCTAAAGTTATGAGAAGTTTTTATAACTTTATTTTTAGCCCATTTTAACATTGTGCATTTACAAACCTTCGACCGTCAACATGCAGTGTCAGATATTGTCAATTTTAGGGAATCACTAAAATCATTTGCATTAAGGGAGAATTCCCAAAGTGTTTTGAGTACTTAAGGGCTACATTTTTTATTAGTTTTAAAATTAATACGGCATATGATTATTCACTGTATTTTACTTTTTTTACCTTTATCACAATGTGCAGACGTTTTTCCAATGCTATGTAAAATAATTGAGTGACGATGAAGATTTGATTTATGATTTCTAACATATTGTAACATGCCTGAACTGATTTTTCTCTATCCTACGCCTCCCCATCAAATTCAGGTAGAGTTCCGACATCCTGTTCTGTACCATCAATAGCAGATTTTCCGAGAACATTCCTTCAACTCCTTGTCAAGATCGTTAGGGCCATGAGTAGATGGTAACCATATTAGTGTTTACAAACCAATAAGGACTTGCGGAATTTCGTTCCAATTTACTTGAATCATTCTAAGAAGAAAGTTTTCAAACTGTATCAAAACCCGAGGAAAACCTTAAGAAGATACAGAAGCTGTATTTTCGAGTGGGTTGTATGCTCAAAACAATTGTGTTTTATCTTAGGGGAGAATTTTATTACTATGAAGGGTCGAATATGAATCAAAGTGAGTTTGAAAGGCAAATCACATTCTCTGTTTGTTTGAGAGCCATTTCTCGGAACTGACCCCAGCTGTTTATTATTTGGCTTTTAATCAATTTCATGACGAAGGAGTTAGCTAGTCATAGTTATTAGAACGCTAAAAGGCTTCTAAAAGAGCCTGCCTCTGAATCGTACTAATAAATACGGAGAATAGTCCGATTGAATGTACTTAAGCAGCATACTGGCTTCACATCAAATACTACATCATTCACCTTTTTGGTTACTATGTATTTGATTAAGTTTGAAAATACTGGATGTCGACTAAACGTTTATTTCTTGGGGGGAAAACTACTGTGTGCTTTTACGTAGTGGTTCAAACCAAATCACAGTTTAAAATGTATTTTTATAATTTTCAAACTTGCGAAACAAATAAAAGTAAAATGAAAAACATTAAAACACTTTACATTATAAATATGAAAGTTTGTGTGTTTGTTTGTTTGTTTGAAGTTCAATCAACCATTAACTACTGGACGGATTGGGCTGAAATTTGGCATGATGGTAGCTCACGTTCCCGATTAACATAGGCTATAGGCATGTTCTTATTTCAACAATCCTTTCGGGCTCCGCCCCAGTGGCTCTGTAGTTTCTCATGTTAACCTTATGAGTATCTATCTATAATATTAAAACGAAACAGTGTTTTTTTATTTCACGATTCTGAATCAACCACTCCACGGATTTTCATGATTTTTGTGTTGAAAGAAAGATAATTTTGAGAACTAGGGAATGTCGAAGCCATAATTTTAGTTTAGGGTCCCAGTTTTTTAGAAATTAAGTTTTAATTTTTAAAAAGTCTAGCAGCCGACACTAAGATTCTAAACTAGCTTTTGTCATAAAATAATGTGCTTAACATAACAGCTGTAAACATTCAGCTTTTGTGTCACAAATTCAGCATTTGGATAAAAATGTAAATACATACTTAGGGTTGACTTATTTATACTATGTGTAATGCTAATCATTGAAACGTTCAATTCTTCTGTAAGAGGATGACAGATGAATTAAATTACACATAGTAAAATACTAGGATGTTAAAATTATTTTTTAAAGCAATCTTTGTAGTCTTCGATTTGTTTTAGAGCAATATAATTTGTTTTAACTAACAGCTGGTTAAATATAAACTATGGAACTATGAAGTTATTTTATTTACTCTTATTTTGTCATTGATTATAGGAAATAAGTAAGATTAGTAGAGATAATTAGACCACAGTTTAAAATAGTTTATAACAAAATTAATTAAACCACAGTACAAATCGAGGCTCTGTACACGAGTATTAATAAAACAGCATAAAATGCAAATTATTTTACTGCTCCACTTTTCAAGGAAAGAATAGAAAAATAACAAAGTTTACATGTTTTAATTCTTCATGGTAGCTTTTTGTTTACAATTAATGTTTGTCTGCTTTAACTTTGTTTGGATTAGGCCCGAAAATATTGATGTCATTAATTTTAAATTACCACCACTACCTCAGCCGGGTTTTATACAAAGATAAACAGATGGATGACATAGATTGAACACAACGTCAACATTGACCTAGGATACTGCAATTAGACAAACCATCCTTTTATGAAATCGTGTTCAGTTGTGGTTACGTTTGGGGGTGCCTATATCAGCGCCCCCAAACGTGAAAATATCCCTTTTATTTCAACTATGAATATATTGTATTTTATATTAACTAATATGGGAAATTATACGATGGACATTTATTCAATGAGGGTGGGTAATTATCAAGGCTAGAACTGATATACGGTATGGATAATAAACATTGACAATTACGTCATTAGCTTTACTAGCGTGTTTACTTTTTATATTCCTGCTACATGTGACCAGTTCTTTTTTTTCAAGTGAATGTTATTTGAACCAAACAGCTGTTTCAAAACGAACTGTTATTGTTTTTACTTTTCTTTGTTTACACTTATTTATTTAGCAATTGATGCAGTGAAAATTGATTTTTAAGGATAGGTTTGACGATTAGTTTTGATGTTATGACACCTAAATTAAATTATGTGTAGGCCTACTGTGAATTTTGATAATGTGATCTGTGATAATGATTATGGAAGAGGCAGGTATGCTATGGAAGGTGGTATCGTTGACTAGGTCTATACACTTTTCAATTGACTATTCTATTACTCTCTCTACTGTAGGCTACTTATAATCAGTGTGCGTCTGTGCGAATCGGCTGCAAATCTCACTTCAACGCTTTTCACATCGTAAAAATTGCAGAATTGCTGTTTTATTGTAAAATTATCGGATTTAAAATGCATATCGTATAGGCCTATGATGGAATAAAAACATATTTGGTCACACAACATTTGTTTACAAGATGATTTTTCACATTAAAACTGCAAGAAATTTTGTCTTTATATGTGTAAACTAGCTGATCTGAATTGTACACGGTTTTAACTGACTACTGAATTCCCGTACGTAGGACGGGCTAACACCTCGTTCATATTTAAAGGGAATTAAATAATTTAGTCAGCTGTTTCAACTAAAAAAGTTGGTTCTATGATTTGCAAAATCATTAAGCGTTTTAAGATTTACCAACAGGGTATGGCACTATATTTTTTTGCATTTATATGAAAACAGCTAATTTTAACTAAGCAGCAACAACAAACTGTGATATGCAATGAGAACTGTCAAAGTAGGATTGTTTACAGTTACGTTTATGTTTTTAATTTCATGAATAATTTTTGATATTTTGTGAACTTTTAATAATTTATTTTTCTCTATTGTTTAGATGAAGTGGTGGAATATTATGGCTATGGTAGATGTGTTTTTACTATAGTATACCGTAAATTTAAAGAAGCAAATTTTATCAAAATGTGTCCTGCCCCATTGCAAGTTCAAAGCTTGAGTTGAGTATAACTGCTAAACATTTTTTTACTTATATGCCACCCCGTACGAAGGACGAGTACTCTGCTAGTATGGACATAAATTTCCCCAAAACTGTCTTCAGCTCCAAAGAGATTACGAATATTTGTAGAGTTTAAACCGGCACCTAGGCCCAAACACCAGTGTTTTTGTAATTTAGGTAGGCTTCAGACAGACCTATAATCAAAGAGTGTTAGGTATAATAACTTTGATGCCTTGATTAGGTAAATTCCATTACTCAGTTACAATCTTTACATAAATAGCCTACGAGCCTAAATAGTATGAAGAGATAGCAATAAAATACTTTGCAGTGAAACATGTATCCATAATCTTTACCAGGAATTATTAAAGAAACCTGATAGATGTGATATCCGATCACATTTTCCCCAGAGAATACCAGTAGAAAGTGCAATATTCAGTAAACTGCAGCAAATTGGTGTTTCAACAACCAATCGTGATAACTAGACCACTTCCAACCAGTTCAAATCGTTCTTTGTATAGCCTACTTAACTATCAGATTGTATACATCGTTACACAGATATTGAATTAAATTTTAAATGTTTTAAAATTTGAATCTACACGTGACAAATTTATTGTTTTGGAAGTTAGGTATTAAGTCCATTGGTTAATGAAAGTTAGGTCAAAATGTACATCGTGTAAAGTACATTTTTTGTTGCTGGAAAACACACCTCTAAAAAGTATTCCTTACAAAACGCAGGCTATTAAATTATTTTAATGGTTTCAGTCCACCGGGTCCAAAATCTAAATTCCCATTGAATAAGTATACATTTTCTTGAAAATTAAAGCCATAGATAAAACATACTCCCTTGTGCTTGTCTCCATGGTGAAGCTCGACGTATTTTGTGTGTTTGTGTGTTGTGTGTTTGTGTGTTATTTTGTGTGTAAACGTTGATGACGTTTGAGTGCACTGATGTCAGGAAAACGTTTCTCTTTTTAGGTTTGATTTAACTGTACACTGGTTGTAATACTGTACCGGGAGACACAAAATATAGTGTTTGGTTAAAATAGTTCTAAAATTGTTTAACTGACAATCAAACCGCAACTAACCTTCTATTAGCTGATCCATAAGGGTGATCAAAATGAGATCTATACGTGTCAGGTATTAAATTTAATCCATGAATTAAATCTAAGGTTAATTGTAATAGGTATTGCACAAATACTACTATTGCTATTGTACAAATCGAATTGCAATAGCATTGTAATTGACATGTGATATTAGAGTATGCTCAATCGATGCAATCAGATACTGCTTACACAAATAAATGTAGAATTTTATAGATTAATCGAACATGGTGAGTATAGGGATAGGTTTCAAGCACCCTATTTCATGGATAAGTAGGCCTACACTACTGAAGCACACTTTATAATTATACTGACTAAGCATACTATTAAAGGAATCTACAGAGATCATCGCAAGTTGGTAACTACAACAATTCATCTATAAGCTTTAAATGTGTAAAGGTAGCCATTTGACTTTAGTTACTATAGTCCTATACCTATCATTCTACTGATCAGCATTGTAAAATTCAATGCCTGCTTTTTATTCCTTTCATCTCAGGTTACGTTAGTGTGTTAACACCGAATAAACGTGTTCTAATTTTAGGACTCACAGTGTGTTCAAATGTACACTATACCTACTCTAAACTACCTTACGATGCTGAGGGTGGTTTTAGTTAATTCAATTTGGTAAAAAAAGGGATGTATTGAATATATCCACTCCCTTATAAATATTCCACGCTGATCTAATGACAATTTTTAAACCGATTCAGCCCAACAAATGTTTAGGGTTTTTTTTATACGATTACGATTTACACCTGTTGAGCGGTCTGCATAACACAATATACATGTTTGCTTTTTTTAATTACTTGACTTTTGATCTCTTCTTATTTTCATCTAAAATTTCTTTTTGATTAATCACAGCTTTTCTTAGCAGTTGACGATGACAAGATAGAACTCATGCTGAAAGTGAGAGTGGTTCTCAAAATGTCCGTCATTCAGTTTCTCAATCCTGTTTGACCGCTTGAGTTATGCTAGTTTTTGAATAATTATTTTGATGATAATTAGTTTCTAGATGCAAAAAGAACTTATAAATAATATTACTCTTATTAGTTGGTTAATTTCACACATAAACTTGTATTATAAAACTAAAATGAAAATAGGACTTACATGTGTACGGCTTCAACGATTTTGATTGAAATTTTGTATGTTATGGTCCATTAAACTCTAATTAAAATTATACAATCCCCCAATGTTGTACAAATTTCTGTTAAAAATGTATTGATTTTTGTTTTACCCATAAATTGTAATGGTTACTCCCACCTCTTTCACATCAAAAAAGGTTTTAAAATCCACTAAAAGAAAGTATGTTTCAGTTATTTATACCGTTTATTTTATTCATATGTTTGAACATTTTCCTGTTACCCTAAATTCTATTCTAATACACAATAAATCAATCTGCAATTGATTTTTCTAATTATAACAAACTGCTGCGCAATGTTTTTATTCTATTAACCTCATGGTTTGATTGCAAATCACACAAGTGCACATACACACAGCAGGTCGTGATTGTCAGACTAAAGCTGTATTTACAACTAAACGTTTGATAATTTATTGACAACAGGTGTTTTCAACCAAAGTCAAACATTTTGGTTTGTGGTGTTAACAATTTTGAAAACTGCTGTATATGTGTTGTACAAGATTTTCCCAACCATCCTTCTTGGGGAAATTCTGTTGTAACACTGAAATACTGTTGAACTGACCAAAAGTGCAATCTTTGCATTGTCGAAAACTTTTTAACTTGGTGTAAACATATGGCTTAGATAAATTGTTTCTTAAACAATGATTAAGGTCAGCTGGATGTATTTTCAAATCATTAAATGCTACAGTCTTTACACACAATTAAATTGCCAACCTTCTTATTACCTTTCTAGCACTACATTTTACACAGCTATATATAACTTTCTTTAAATACTTTTCAACAAGCTTAAAATTATTCAATGTTATAGATTTTCCTGACATTTCTGGGGCTAGCCGCTGCTGGGAAAATTGCCCCAAATGAAGATAAGGGACCTCACCATTCTACCAAGAAGGAGCTTAAAGACCCCAACAGGTTTCCAAGGAAAATCCAGGTAAATTTTTTGTTTTCAGTTTTTCTTGTGGTGTTTCCGGACCAATTGATTGACAAAATAAATACCTGATGGTCGCCTTGTGGTCCAAGTTTATTTATTATTGAAAACTATTTTTAAATGTTCTCCAAATTCAGAACAAAAATTGAAAATAATGTTTGAGATACTCTCTAAACAATGTTTCTCTGTGGTTTTGATAGCATGTGTTTAAGTTCCAAGATAAAATTATAAAAAGAATCTATATTTGAAATCAATTACTGAAGAGACAAAATCAATTTGGCAAGTTCTTGTTTGTCCCTGCAGCAGTCAGAAAGCAAAGGCAGTGGAACAGATGTAGATCCTGCGCTAGTCTATGCTCTGCCCCCCGTCGGACTGCTCCACCAAGGAAGAGGGTTTGGCTACGGCGGGGCACGAGCAGGCTACGGAGGGGCAGGAGCGGGCTATGGCTCGGCAGGAGCGGGCTACGACGCTGCTGCACTCACATCCTTCCTTGGGGCCCAACTACATGAGGGAAACCAAGAAGTCCTAGTACAAGGTAAGCTTGTGTCAGAATGGATATCGCATTAGGCGATTGCATACAACAAAAACTCAAATTGTTTATTGGAAAGAATAATATTCCATGGTTTTTTATACCCAACAAAATACAGGGTGATTCAAAAAGGACTTTACAACTTTGAAAATTCATATAAATCTTATTAAACAAGGTGCAGAGCTGTTTTTGGTGTTGTCTTAAAGGAAAACACTTCAATTTTTTACCTTAAACTAAAGATGTTCAATGTGACTTCCGTTGGATTTGGGGAAAATAATTATTTAGGTATGAAGAAATAGTGAAAACCGTTAAAAATTTGAGAGTAATTTACAAAATTTTGAAAGTAGGGCGTTTTTTGATGGTGAAGGAATATGATTTTCGAAAACACATATTTAGTGTCTAGTAGGAAATTTAATTCCGAACCTACGTTTTTTCCTCAAATCTTTTCTAGCTCTTACCGTTTTCGATCTATAAAATTTTATCGGGGTTAAAATTTTAAAATGCGACTTTTCGAAATTTTATGGGTGGTTTGGGACCAAGAACTACAAGTGTGCGAAATTTCAACTCCCTAGCACATCTAGAAATGGGTGTATCCTTCACCGTCAAAAAACGCCCTACTTTCAAAATTTTGTAAATTTCTCTCAATTTTTAACGGTTTTTCACTATTTTTTCATACCTAAATAATTATTTTCCCCAAATCCAACGGAAGTCACATAGAACATCTTTAGTTTAAGGTAAAAAAAGTGTTTCCCTTTAAAATAACACCAAAACCAGCTCTGTACCTTGTTTAATAAGATTTATATGAATTTTCAAAGTTGTAAAGTCCTTTTTGAATCACCCTTATTTGGCCTTCCCATAACTGAAATTCCCAGTTCTTTCCGAGTCATGTCGTGTTTCTTATTCATCGGCCTCTCATGCTACTTAATCTTTCCACCTTTTCTCCAGGTGTCCAGAGGGTCTTCTTTTATCCAACTTTTCCGTCCATATTTGTTTTGTCAAAGCTTCATATACGAAGGGTTAATGGGGCTCGAACTATACGAGATGAGTCATAAAAACTTATGATAACCCAACCTAACCTAACCGCCGCAGCGCGCTGAAAAATAAGTGGCCTCCGTATAATACGTAAGTACCGGTTATTGTATGATCGGTCATGCCAGATGTCTAGGCCTACTCTTTTGCTTCAGCTTAATCAAAGAAAACTCTATGTTTCAAAGACCACAGTCCTATTTCTTTCTAATCCTGGGTGTCTTTTTCATTAACTCTCAAAATTCTTATGTTTTTGCTTCTTCTTTTTTCCACATCTTCAAGTGTCCTAGATTTCTCCTTCAATCCGAGTTGTACTTCCATGTCTGTTTTATTGTACCTATATATTCTTATCTCATTTCCTCAGACTTATTTTTACTTAAGCAAAATAAAATGAAACAAATTTGGCACAAAGATAAAGGAAACTTACAAACTTTATCCAGAAACAGTTTACTGATTTAAGCAATGTTGAAACTGTTTCAACATTTTTAATGGAGGACACTCTAGGGTATAACAAGAAAAAATAATTTATCAGTTATTCTTTGGCTTTGTCTATAAGTATAATAGATATAGTTAAAATCGCCAGTATCTTGAATTTTTTTGTAAAATTGACTGTTTTCGTGGAATTTGGCATACAGTATGAAAAATAGCTGCCATTTTTACGGGCTTACGATTTTTTATTAATATTTCGCACAGAGATTGCTGTGAATAAGATTGATATGTTTGCAGAATCTCAACCCGGTAGCTCAATAAAACGTAAGGAGTATTTTACAAAAACACTCATACAGACCAAAAAATTCTAAACTAACCAAGGTAGAACTTAATTTTTGTATACACGTTTTTGCTTAAATGGCCCAAGGAATCAACACGCAAATTATATCTCCATCGTTTTTGAACACCCTGTATAGCTATAACTATAGGTAAATACCCCCTGGTAGCAGAACCAGGCTTTGTTTGAGCCAAACATATTTCATCAAACCATGAAATGTTCACAGCCAAGAAGCCAGTCTACCACGCTGCTCCGGTTGACTTTGGCTCCCTCTTGGCCAATCATGTGACCCCAGTCCAGGAGTCTAAGGAGGAGCCCAGCAAGGGTGGAGCCCTACAGTCCCTGGGTAGCCAAGGGGGCGGATTCCTCCCATCCCTAGGTAGCCAGAGCAGTTCAGCATACCACACTGCCCAAGCAGTACAGGAGGCTGCTCATAGTTTTATCCACGCTCCCAAATACTACAGCCAGGATCAACATGAAGATGAGGTAGGAAACAAATTTTAATAGATTATCTGGTTATTATGTTAATTCATTGCATGCTATTAACTTGTTTAACCACTTCCTAAGTATACAAAACATCATAGGATTTGGAAACATTTGGATTAGATTGACTGAGCAGAAGTAAAAAGTCGTCAAACATGTACAAATTTCATTATTAGAAAAAATTCCTGAAACCATAAATGTTATACAAAGTTTAAAAAATCTTCAACTTTTACTTCGAGTATTAAATTTAGATATCTTACTTGATAGAAACATTATTTGAAAATTTTTCCCAGAGAGACAAAGTAATTTTATTATTTTTTGAACTAAACTAAATGGTTTCACTTTCATGTGAAAAACATAGCTGAATTGGGCTCATGTGATGGGTAAAGCTCAGGTTCAAGCGATCTCCCAATTTAATACCATTGGATCTGCTAGTGACAAGCATTAAGCATTAAATTTGTTGCCAAATGCATCGACAAAACCGAGCTGCAGGATTATGTTTCCTTAACCCCGTCAGACAGTTTAAATTGATTAGCTAAAACAGACCCTGTTTTACCATTCAACTAAGTAATGTCGTTTCTAATCACATTCTATAATGAGATTATATTTTAAAACATGGATTATTTTGTGTTTTATAATAGGTAATGCATTTTATTTTTCTTACCAAATAATCCTAACTTACTATTGATCAGCTTTACAACATTTTAAGTGCTTCAAAATCTACAGACATTTTTCATCATCCAGTATGCCTTAAAAGTTCTTATGTTCAACTGAGAGCTTAATCATTCAAGGAAGGTCAGGAGACAGGTTTCATCACACAGACTGTAGTTTATTTCAATTAATTTATAAGTAAATAAATCCTATGCCATGAAAAGTGTACCCTTAAACATGCGACAGCAAGGTAAAAAAATATACAAGGGATTTGTTTCCAGACCAGTAATGCTAAAATTCATTACCATCATTGGAGATTATGTCTGGGGTTATTTTTGTGTGTTATTTTGGAGGTATATTTACAGTAAGCTGTTACTTGAATTTCTAACCGTATTCCCATCAGATTTTTAATTCAACTATTGTTCTTCCTGTTTCCTACCTTCAACATGAACATGATGCAAATTTTTTTTCTGCTAGAACACAATTTTTTAGCCATATCCAACCCACTGTGATTACTTTCTTGCTAAATATGATTTGTGATTGTTTCAGTACAAGGACTACGCAGCCAAGTACCAGTTTGGGTACAGGGTGCGTGACTTGCACACAGGGAATGACTTTGGTCAGACCGAGTCCAGAGATGGACATTTGACACAGGGTCACTACCACGTGCTGCTCCCTGATGGTAGACTGCAGAACGTCCACTACTGGTCAGACCATTCGGGATTCCACGCCAAAGTCTCGTACAACGGATTCTCCCATCACTGATCTAGACTGATCTGACGGCTTCCATCTCAAAGATTAGTTTAAGGAAAAAGATCTTGGCCATACTCGGTGCCTTAACTTAGGAAATAGGATTATTGCCATAGTTAGGATTAAGTTTACTCTATTTCGCCACTGACTTATGGACGTTGAAATCCCTTTTGTAATTAACCACGTGTTGCAAATATGCTATTCAAGGAGAACACAGTATGTTCATCTCAAAGAGTGTGCCACAGTAAAGAATTCTATTCCTCATTTATGTTTTGTCAAATTAATTTAAAACGCTAATGCAAACGATGCTTCAAATTAAATAGTCCCTCAAATTAAGCTTGATGAAAGTTTCAGTGATTGACAACAGTTGGTGGCTTCATTCAAATCCGTTCATTAGGCTATTATACTATAACTGGCAAAAGTTTTAAAAGATGGAATGTCTAGTTCAATTCATAGCCAAAGATGTTCCTCGAATTGAAGATATTTTAAGTGCATTCAAATATTAGCTTTCCTCATGAGAAATTTTCAAGCATATTTTAATTTGGTATCGTGTATAAAATGTGTGTACTGGTAACACAATGCTTTCACAGAAACGTAATGCTTTGGAACGATTTATCAAATATTCAAACTGGCAACTTGATTACAAATAGGCTGCATAAAGGTCTAATTCGATGTAAAGTTGTTTTTGTATTACTTTCTAAGTAGGTATGTTTACCGAGATCAGTGTTAAACATTAGTTGAAGATGTATTAATTGTGGTAAATTTAGCTGTAAAATGTGTTTTATTTTTATTTTAGGGTAATGTCTGATTATTTTACTAACTACAAATAACCAAAGGACAATACCCAAAGAAAGTCATTGATGAGAACAATCTCTTTATGGAATTTAAAAAATATTTTTTACATTTTAAGAGCAAAAGACAGTTTGTATTGTCAATGTTTGGGGAAAGTGTTTATGTAAGCTAGATTTATGTTTAGTTTCTAAGATTGTACCTGACTATATGACTTATTACATGGAACAACAGAATCCAATAATTGTTGTTCCGTTGTTGTTGTTGGCCAATCCTAGGACACAAGTGCAATATTTACATTATTTAAATAATTGTTATTTTAGATAAGTTTTTGTTAGAATTTTACTATTATAAAAATTTACTTGTTATTGTTTATTGTTTTTGTCCTTGTTGCCTTCAAAACAACACTGAAAGTATAGGTGTATAAAACTTTATAAATAGAAAGATATTCATCAATTTCACATAGTAAACTTAATCTAAAACAAAATTAATGTTATAAATAAATAGCAAATTTTTTTGAATGAAAAAATTGATAAAACTAATAGAAATAAGTCATACTATTTAACAATGATTATCAGATATTCCAAATAAGTATATTACATTGGAACTTAACAACAAATAAAATACTTTACAAGATCAAACGCATAAGGAAAAATTACAATTCGCCTTGAAATTGAGGCAGTTAACTGTATTAACCCAAGGGCCTTGCTACTGGGCGCACTTGAACCATGCACAAAAATGGAGGTCTATACATAAAACCACGCACAAGGTTCACCCTCAGGGCACCCCTTAAATACGCTAAATCTAGCCTTTTACCATTAATGAGAACTCTCATGGCCGATTAAACACAAACAAAGGGTGACAAATAAATAACAGCTAATTTTAGCGATTTTCCCATAAGTAACCCCATAAGTACGGCTTCGTAGTACTTATAGTAAGACCTGGACCCGGGACCGATTTACTTTTCATTTTGAGGTCTCAGGACAACAACTGCACGCTAATTATACATATTGTCGCTAATTTTAGTTATTCGCTAATTCCACCTAATTCAATGAAGATGGTGGTCGCCACGCCACTATTGGTTGATGAGCGCTAAATTTAAAAGTTTTCGGTAGCCCCACCTTCCGATTGTCTGTTGCAAGAATATTATCAATGAATTAGCTATTAATGGTTGCGCAATAACAGAATGAATGAAGTAATATTTTTATTTCTCATAATACTACATAATAATAACGTGTAAATAAAACACATACTTAAATTTCATAATAAACTAGAGCAAAAACTTTAAAACTAAAATGAAAAGGCTTTTTGTTTTAGGCTACGGTATTTAATTATAAAGACAATAAGTCGTGCAGTATTTGATACAAAAGTAATATTCTTGAGTGTAACCAAAAGGCATATTAACCTGCTTGAAATAATTCAGATGGCCTACATTAATTAATTATTAGCTATGCGATACTACACTACAGTTGCGAGCAGCGCTACTCGCCGCGCCGCGCCATAAAACTGAGATTTGGTCACTCTGTTCAACCCAAAATTTTAACAAAACTAAGCATGATAGAAAGAAAAGTTAAATACAAACATTAAAGTATATTTAATTATCTACAACTTTCTCACAGACGAAACTTCGCTGACCAACAAACAAAAATTTTAGTAGGCGACTAACTTTTTCACTTCACTTTTCCAAAATTTTTCTAGTGTTAATTTTAAAAATCTATATATTTAATACGCTAGGCATATTTTGTCATAATTGTTTTGGAGCGGTGGTGCTACCGATCGCCATGTCCAAGGAGTCGTTAGAATGGTCTTAGCATGTAGTTTTGCCATCAAACAAAAAATTTTGGAATTACATCAGGGCTCTGCCCCAGTGGCCTTCAAAGTTCCCATGTTGTTCTTAAGAAGACAATGTTTGTATACATTTGAACAGATGAATACTTTGAAATTGACACTAATATTTGAAACAGCTGGTTTTACTAAAATTTTAGACATGTGCTATATAGTGCAGTAAAAATAAGAGAAAAATTCCATAAACCTAAAAAAAATTAGCACAACCGGGGAATTTGGTACAGATGTTGGGTGTACCTTCCTTTTGAACATACTAAAAGTCCCCTAAAATTGAAGCTGTGCTACGGCCGCCATATTGGAAAATGGCGGCATATTTCTGTATTTTTCGCTATAGTGACTTTATTATATGAGATACAGGAAAAAGCTAAATATACAAAATGTAGGTCATCTAAAAATACACATTTTTTGTATTTACCATCTTTCTCTAAACCCAACGGGTTTTGAGTTATTTGTTATTAAGTATAGATAGTTTTTTCTATTTATCAAAAATAGGTGAAACACATGGAAATTGTCCGTTACTTTCAAAGGATTATGATAATTTATCCTATTTAGTTAAATAGTGTGATACTATAAAATATTAAAATTTAAGCTTATTTTATGAGTAAAACAACTCTGCCACAGCAAACCTGCAGACTCAGCAAATTTCCTTTTGATTGGATGTTTTATTAATTGTATTTAAATAAAATCAGATTCAACATGTCCCTAGGTTTGCTGCTACAGGTAGGTTATTATAGTGTGTTTTTTTAGTAAAATATCAATAACTTAGTATAAAATAATTAATTTTCCAAGTTTGATCATAATAAATCTATAAACAAACAAACTGCAAATTAACTAATTCATAATAATAGCATGGTAGCTTAAGATTTACAATTTACAAATTTAAATATACAAATTTTGGTTGTGTTTACTAAAAATATGGCGATTATTCGTCACGATTCGAATACTAACCGACGGGGTTTTCAAAAGGAGATGAAGCAAGTAATTTAAGTACTGTAATATTAACTCGTACCAAGTATCGGAAATATTGTATGGAGTGAGGAAATCAACCATATTTTGTAAACTACGCAATAGTCATATTAATATTTTATACTCATTTGTACCCATTTAATAAATTAACATTTTAATATTTTGATGACACTACCACTATCACTCTGATATCAACTAAGTGGGATGAATAATTGTCGTAAACCTTGAAAGTAACCGTCGATTGCGATGGGTTTCACCGATTTTTGATAAATAAAACTAACAATACCATGCTTAATTAGTCACCAACACGAACTAGACACGAAAAACACCCTTCCAAATTTACAATGGGATGTCAAGTATAGTTAGTTAGTGTGGTGGTGCCATCAAAATACTAAAATGTTAACTATTAAATGGATAAAAAATAAGATAAAATATTAATATGACTATTGCGTACTTTACAAAATATGGTAGATTACCTTACTGCATACAATATTTTCGGTGCTTGGTACGAATTAATATTACTTAAATAACAGGCTCCATCTCCTTTTGAAAACCCATTTGGTTAATATTCTAATCGTGACGAATAATCGCCATATTTTTAGTAAACACAACCAAAATTTGTATAGATTCAAATTTGATTATTGTAAATTAAAAACTCTCATGCTATTCTTATGAATTAGTTAACTGTTGCAGTTTGCTTGTTTATAGATATATTTTGATCAAACTTGGAAAATAGTTATTTTATTTTATAGTAAGATATTGATATTAAAAAAAACACTATAATAACCTTCCTGTAGCAGCAAACCTAGGTACCTGTTGAACTTAATTTTATTTATATACATTTTTTAATAAAACATCCAATCAAATGGAAATTTGCTGAGTCTGCAGGTTTGCTGTGGCGGAGGTGTTTTACTCATAAAATGAGCTTAAATTTTTAGATTTTATAGTATCACACTATTTAACTAAATAGGATAAATTATCAAAATCCTTGAAAGTAACGGTCAATTTCCATGTGTTTCGCCTATTTTTGATAAATAGAAAAAACTAAATATACTTAATAACAAATAACTCAAAACCCGTTGGGTTTAGAGAAAGATGGTAAATACAAAAAATGTGTATTTTTAGATGACCTACATTTTGTATATTTAGCTTTTTCCTGTATCTCTAATAATAAAGTCACTATAGCGAAAAATACAGAAATATGCCGCCATTTTCCAATATGGCGGCCGTAGCACAGCTTCAATTTTAGGGGACTTTTAGTATGTTCAAAAGGAAGGTACACCCAACATCTGTACCGAATTCCCCGGTTGTGCTAATTTTTTTTGGGTCAAAACATATTTTTACTGTACTAATAAGGATTTAGATTAGTTGAAAAGATTGACGTTTAACTGTTTTAAACCAGTTTTTATTTGCACAAAATCAAAATGGTAAATATGCATTTTAGGGTTTGCACGCGATTTTTGAATTTTTTTCATTCTACTCGAAATTCAACGCTGATTCCGAAAATGACGTTCTTTTTCCGCGGAAAACGACCATTACGCAGAAAAACGACCAAAAATCTGTTTTTACCAAAACACGTCACGCGGGTACTCAAATTAACCGTAATATTAAGCAGATTACAAATATGCAAGAATTTTTCCGACGTCAAATAAGCGAGATATTCACGAAAATGTGATACTACCAGCAATAACCGCAACTCACAAGGGGACAGGTGGGAATTCGGGGTTTTGGGTGGGAGAGACATATAACGTGGTTTATCATAGGAAAATTAGGCGGGGAAAGGATAATTTGATGTGTAAAAGGGTAATTTAACGGGAAATAATGGGTAATTAGTCGGGAGAATTATGGGAAATTTGCTTGGAATTGGGAAACGACTTAGTGAAGACTATAAGACGTCGACCAGGACGGGCAATAGTAGGAGGCGAACTGGTAGACGCGAACGAAATACAAATAATACTATTGTCGTTGATAGCCGAATACAGCAAGTACCCTTTCGTGTTGAGTTTAAATAGGATGGAACAGGAAGAAGTCTTGGATAGTCTTCGATGAGAAAATAAAATTTGATGAGAGACAAGGAAACAATTGAGACGTTTAGGGAAGTAGATAGAGAAATAGGAATAACCAAGGATACGCACAGGTTTTTAAATTGAAAAAAAAGAAACAAACAAAAACAAAGAAAGAAAGGAATGAAAACTTCCCCATGAAGGTGAGAAGAAAGGTTAGAGTGAATCCCAATGATCCCCTATTGCTCAGGGCAGAAGGAGGAAGGGAGTCATGCCCTTAGTAAATAACAAATCAGCATACTTTATCAGAAGAGAGATTATTTTAGAAAATAACCATAGTATAAAAAACACAGTAGACTTAGTAAGCCATATATCTAACATAGAAATAAAAGATTCATATATACTTGCATCATTTGATATTGTTAGTCTGTTCACAAACGTAACGTACCTATAGACGAAACAATAACTTTACTCAGGAAAAACTTAGACAAGCATTCCACCTTAGCTACAGAAG